ACCTTCTTCTTACTTATATATTCATATGTGTATATTAATAGTAGTTCAGTAGTTCATGTTATTATTTTGTATTAGGTGCATGCAGCTTTGATTTTTGTCAAAATCAAGAACAGTATTCGGAGACAGAGTCATATTAATTTGTGTTTCCACATAGGAAGTTAAAAGTCGCTTGACAGATTTGTGAAGAAGAAGGTTTGCTTAATAAGTCAATGCAGACAAACCAATGTGAAAATAAAGCAACAATATTTAGAGTTAAGCCAACAATTATTTGGATCAGAAGTAACACTTCATGTAAAGTAAATTACACTTTGACCGTTTTAAATGAGCCATCAGCAAAGTGGACAAAGTGTGATGTTGCTGTAGTAGCATCCTTCTCCTCCTTAAGCCTGGTGACTCTTGTCTGCCCTGCCCCGAGTGCATTATTGTTTCACTGTTCAGTGAAAGCAGGGATCATCACATTTAAGTTGCCAAGTTGGTCCAGTGAGACTGAAGACACTGCCCTCAATTTTCATCCAAGTATTACACAACAGCTTGGAGCAACCAGCGTTTATGGCTGATTGATGTGATGAGGTGCAGCGTTGAGCTGACGCAATCGTCAAAATCTAGGGTGATCCAGAAATGAGTGACACAGATTATTGTTGGGATGGAGGAATTGACTGTTTGCCTGACAGTGTACAGTATATTGTTTTGAATGAAGGGGACTGGGGAGGCTTGTGCACAAAGCTTCATCTAAACGGTGTCATTCACTCTGCTTATCATATTACTTGTCATTTTTATTTTATTTTATTTTTGTATAACCTGACAATATCCACAAAATGCACAAAAAGACTCGATTTATTTTACAATGAAAGATTAAGTTTTGTTTTGAACCAAAATGTGAGAAAATGTATGAAAACGCTGAAATTAGTCATATAATCTCAACGAAATAAGAATATGATGCATCGGTATTTATTTCATTCTAGACATGACTAAAACTTTTGCATGACACAACCAATGTTATGATCGTCACCTAACATTAAGTAAGTCATTACACATTTTTGTGATTTGATTCTGTAAATGTAAATGACCTAACTTTAAATAATGCATTCATGTTTAGTATTTAAATGCAAATTAACTTGGCAGGTTTTACTTTTTTTAATCTCAGCCAGACTCCTTAAACCCTTTCAGTCTCCTCCAGGAGCGCCCACTTGGGTATGAAAACTGGTAGTGTCCTTTTAACATTGATCCGTTTAAACAGAGTAGATCTATTTTTGATCTACGAAGAGAGCCTTCACTAAATAAATTTAAAAATCACACATGTGCACTATGAACACTGCAGTCAGTCATTTTTCCACACTTGCAATACAACAATAACAATTTAGTCTAGCGTTGTTGTGTGTTTGCTCTGACAAGAGTCCAAGTCTATATTTTCACGACTAACTAGGTTAAGTCAGGTCCGGATGGATTCTTCAGGTCCAGAGGATCTGATTTAACCTTGTTGGATTGTTCTACCTGGATCATTGAGCATGCATCAGGACATGCTCATGACTCTTTTAATATTTTTCTTTTTGAGCCACATTCAGCAGCAAACTAACCTCATCGTCTGTCCAAACCATATGTGCACCAACCATTAAAAAAAAAACTTGTTTTCATGCTCAACTCACAACTACAATTCTGCATACATGTGCATGTTGTTAAAGAAACAAACACAGCGCCTACTAGTGACCTGATGTGACAACTGCAGCAGATTCTGTGTATTTTTTTTGTTTGTTTGTTTGTTTGTTTGTTTGCTGTCTCATCTAAACAGCGAGTGCAATCAGGGCTGAGATGGGGTAGAGGCAGGGCAGCCGACTCGGAATCCAAAAGTCACAGGTTCAATCCCCAGCCATTCCCACATGCCGTGACGTCTCTGAGCAAGACACCTAATCCCTAATTGCTCCCCGGGCAGCCTATAGTTGCCCACAGCTCCACCTGGGTGTATCCCAGGTGCGAGGGGTTAACTGCAATGAAATAATATCGCCATTGTGTGGGAACATACAATGATGACAACACATAGCACTTACAATCATGCGTGAACAGAAGACAGCTTTACTAGCTTGAAAACATTGCTGAAAGTTTAATGGAATAATAACTAACCCTCCACCTCCATTTTGAATGAGATAGTTAGAATAAACCAGTGGATTTAAAAGTACTACTTTGGAGCTGCACAACAAAGGATGTCACATGTTTTTCAGCCCCCCCATTGTTGTCCATTATAAAGGTGTGAAGGCTTTGAAAACAACACCTGTGCTAATGTGTGCTGTCTGGATAAAGACATGCTAAAAGGAAATAGGATGGTAATTATGGATACAACTGACCTCTGTGAACATTCACTCATCCCAGACTGAGCCCCTTTTTGTGACAGGTCATCAGAAATCACTTTTTTTTAGTGTTTATGGTGTGAGGACTAACACCACTGGTGAGAAAATGATTAATCAAGATGGAGTGGAAGACTCAGGAGGAGAGTCGGACTTTTAATTGTTTTGAGCGAAACTGTAGCAGAATGGTGCTTTGGAACACTAAAATTATGTTTCTACCACTTACAGCAACAGTATAAGAAAAGTACAAGAGCAATCGACATAAATAAATGATAACTCAGACTATTAGATAGTTAAATTTCCCTTTGGGGATTAATAATGCATGTTCAAGTCTATTCTCTGTTTCTCCAAATGAAATTATTATCATGCACAATTCATTCAACCTTTATTTATACAGGTTAATCCCACTGAGCCTCGGGGACTCATTTACAAGAAGGACCTGATTTTAACAAAGAGTGATGACAATAGACAACAAAGACAATAATAGACAATCATAAAGGATGCGTACAAATTGATTTTTTTTTTTTTTTGTAACAAGTGAAAATAAAATGGTATTTAAAAGAAAATGTAGCAATAAAAACAACTAAAAAAACATGCACTAAACAACCAACAATGCAAAAGCGTTTTAGGTGGTTTTCAATGTCACTTAAACAAATCCCTGCATGGGAGATGAACAAGTTATAGACAGCAGGTTTGTGTGGGTGTGCTCATGTTGTGCTTGAGGCGGGAAGCACACCACTCCCAGCTGGGTATTGCCCTGCAACTGACCTTGCTGTCTCTGCAGCAATTAGACAGCGGCAGGCGACTGCCTCCTGAACTCCTGCTGCCCCCTCTGTGTGCCGCCTCTCTGGTGGCTCAAACAATGAGTGTGAAAAGCAGAGTTCATACCCACCCATACGTTGAAACTTGAAAGATGATGTATCACTGAATCCCAACTGGAGCGACTGAGCTCACAATCGCTCTGTGGTGATTGACACCGGCACTATCTCTGTCAAGGATTTTTTCTTTTTCTTCAGCACATGCATTTGTTGTTTAGGGAGCTTTTATTTGGTCTATGTGTCGACATTAAGTCTTGTTAGGCATGCCTTGTTGGAACAATTACTGGTTTATCACCAATTGAGAACACGGCATGAGCAAGGTCAATTAGAAATTGCTTTCTATCCAGATAGCAATTTGGCCAATCCATGTTTGCTCTGAGGGTCCTGTGTGTTGTAATGGGTGATAAACGTAATGAATTAAACAAGGTTTTAACAGGAGAACACTATTTAAACGCTGAGTTTTAACGAGATCTGTCAGCTTTATTTGTCTGGCTCAAACCTTATTAAAAGCTTTGAGCTATTTATCAAGACCTGTTGTCCTTCACTCAAATGGGTTTGCAAATGAAGCAAACAAAAAAATATTTCAATAGCAACTCAGAAAGAGGCAAACTGTGTGACCAGGACCTGACATAGAATAAAAGAGGTCATGCTTTACCACCATTACAAGTTGTAATGGTGGTAAAATGTTTTTACAACAAAACAAAAAATGTACACATCATCAAGTGAAAGTGCAAGGTTAAGATTTCAGATTATGGCTATGAAAATTCCAGTTCTATTGGCAATATTCATATTCATAAAACGTTGTTATTATACGACAGGTTTAAATCCTACAAATCCAAATTTTTATGTTTGTTTATGCTTTCATGTTGTATTTAGGAACTGGTTCTCCAGGACTAATAAGTCAATGTAAATCCTTCCTGCCGACAGACTAAATGGATGTTTACACATAAACACGAGCGAAACAAAAGGAATGGCAGGCAGAGGCATTCACCAATAGAAGACACGCTGTCTTTTGTGTGTGTGTGTGCAAACACACACTGTCTCTGACTAAAATACACAATATCACTTTCCAGGGACATTTTGCTCAAACATTAGCCTTGGTCATGGGCCACCAGCCAAAGCCCACACTGGCGTCCTCAACGCTTCACACAGGGACTATATTCGAACTCCCTGACCAGAATTGACAGGGCTCATCTGTCCAACAGTCCATGTAATCTCTGAGAATTTGTGTTTGAGAGATGAGGAGGGCTCACCCCCTGGTTGCATTACCTTTCCCTGACCCCAGAGACTGACAGATCTAATTGCCCAATCACTAGTTCCTCCCCTACCTTCATCCCAACCTCATGTTCCCTGCTCAAATGACCAGCCTTCATTTATTGGCTGGACGGATGAAAAGACAATTCATTTGCACAGCAACTCTGAAATCTTTCATCTTGCTTATAACTATTTACTGGAGTGAAAATGACTTCTCTGTTCTCTTAAAAGAGAGCATTGCTGCTAAAAGATCTTCCAACTTGCCCCATTGTCACAAAGGGTGCATGCAAATTTCATCATTTGACAATGACTGACTGTAAAATGAATGAAGGTAAATGAACTGTACTTATATAGCACCTTTGGGCAGCTGTGGCTGAGTGGTTAGATCAGTCGTTCCTCCGATGCAAGAGTTGGGAGTTCAATTCCACCAGCAGTTACATGCCGATGTGTCCCTGGGCAAGGCAGTAGCTATGTTTACATGGACATAAGTAATCGGCTTAAACGGCCATTCGGAATAAAAATGTGTCATGTAAACGCCCCATTCGGATTAATTTTTGTTTATTCAGCTCGATCTGAAAGACTTTGTAATCAGAATGAGATGGGTGGTTTATGCCGATTCATAATCCCAAAGGTGCGCATGTAAACACTTAATCTGTTAATTTTTTTTTCCGATTGAGAAAAACTGACCAGACTGCACATGTGCGACCTATGTCATTTCCGCCTGGCTAATGCTAATAATATTAAAATGTCGGGGAAGCAAAACTGGTAGGTGAGCGACCGGTTTCTTCTAGAAACTTTGAAAAAGCTCAAAATGATCTGTATCACCTGTAGCTCGGTCAGGGAGTGCAGTGTGCAACACATGGACTGTAACACCACCACCTGCACTTTCATCCGTTAGCCCACTACTGTACAAACTGTACACATAATCTACTATCTACTGTTCATAAGTACTCACATACTTATATATATATATTTTTTTCTTTTATATAGCTGTTTATACCCCTTCATATTATAACCTGTTCATAGTCTGTACACTCACAACCTGTATATGTATACCTATAGCATATTCAAAGCAACTTACTGTATATTGTACTATATACATCTACCAATTTATTTTTCTTGCTAAGCACTTCTGGATAGATGCAAACTGCATTTCGTTGCTTTGTACCTGTGACATGTGCAATGACAATAAAGTTGAATTCTATTCTATTCTATTCAGCAACGTCTCCACCGTCATTAAAACCTGTCGCAGGTCCATTTTGGGCGCTATGGTTTATTTACATTCATCCCGGAACATTTCAATCCGTTCAAAGAATTTTGCGCATGTAAACATAGCTGTGTGTGTCCGATTGGTGTATGAATGTGATTTAAAAGCACTGATTACTTTCTACAGATTCAGATTAGAGATCTAGCAGAGTGATGTGTGAATGGGTAAAATAGGGCACAGATTGTGTTGTGGAGCGCTTTGGGTATCTTGATAAGATAGAAAGGCGCTATATCTCCAGCAGTCTATTTACGTTTCTGTCTTATCAAGACACTCAAAGCTCTTTACAACACAATCTGTGTCCTCATTTACCCATTCATACAGCACTCTATTATATTTATACAAAGAAAAATCAGAGATTTATCACATTCATACACCGATGGGACACACATCGGAGGCAATGAGGGGTTCAGTGTCTTGCCCAGGGACACTTCAGCATGCGACTGCTGGTGGATTCGAACCCCCAACCCTTGCATTGGAGGACGACTGCTCTAACCACTCAGCCACAGCTGCCCATAAAATCATCTTGTTTTGTTTCATTAACAGCCAACACTCTTGAGTTGTTTTCAGCCAGTATTCTTGTTCTTGTGAGCATTTATTTATTTGTCTCTTTTTTTTCTTCAATAGATCATTTTGTGGGGCAGAACAGAAAAATGTCTCAAGGAGACGGCTGAAGAAATCACCCTCTCTGGAACAGAGTGTCACTACTTTGTGTGTGACGTGGCCAACCGAGAGGAAGTTTACCAGCAAGCCAAGGTGGTGAGAGAAAAGGTACATTGTGTTCATTTTTATCAGACTTTGCATTTTCACAAAAAAGTCATACAATCTGCTGATGGTAAAATACACGAGAAATGCTCTGACATATCTTTATTTTGATTTAGATGCTTTTTCTACCAAATTCTCCTTATCCTTTAGTGTCTAAACGATATCATTTAGTAATTTTGCTCCCTCTGATCCCAGGTTGGAGATGTTACAATACTGGTGAACAATGCCGCTGTAGTCCATGGTAAAAGTCTGATGGAGAGTGATGATGATGCGCTTCTGAAAACCCAACATATCAATACCTTGGGACAGTTCTGGGTAAGCATCGCATCAAATACAACAGAACCATTTTTACCTGCCAAGAAAATGGAAAAATCTTTCAAGCAGATTTTCCATATTTTTATGTTTTAATTATAGCATGAAAGTCTATGCAGGAGTCCCAGACTTGTCAATCATAATTGCGGTTATGGCATGTTAAGTAGGGTTTTTCCAAGTTGCTTCCAAGCCCCTGCAAGATCAGAAGGGCTTTGAAACACGTGCTACTTATTCTATTTTGAATGCGGATCTAAAAGCTTTGTCATATGCAGGCAAAAATGTAACTATCAAGTAAACGGAAATGGAAATATAGTCTGTGATGATACTGTTAAGTTGTTTCTTTCATCCATTTTTTCCATTTTAACTTCTGTTTTTGTACCTTCTTCAATTTCATCTTCTCTGTCCATGTCTTAGACAACAAAAGCATTCCTGCCTCGGATGTTGGAGCTGCAGCATGGCCATGTAGTGTGCATTAACTCAATCTTGTCCCAGTCTCCAATCCCTGGAGCCATAGACTACTGCACCTCCAAGGCCTCATCACTGGCCTTCATGGAGAGCCTCACATTAGGTCTGCTGGACTGTCCTGGTGTCAGCTGCACCACCGTGCTTCCTTTCCACACCAACACAGAGATGTTCCAGGGCATGAGAGTCAGGTTAGTAAATATTTAAAACTGAAAAGAGTCATGATATGAAAATGACTGCTTTGTCTCAAAACCACATCTTTCTTTTTTTTTTTTTTTTTTTTGGTAGGTTTCCACAGCTTTTCCCTCCACTCAAACCTGAAGTAGTAGCAGAAAGGACTGTTGACGCAGTCAGAGCTGATGAGGCCTTTCTGTACCTTCCATGGACAATGCATGCACTTGTCTTCCTGAAAAGGTAAAACAAAGAGTACTTTTGAAATATTCTTTTGTTTATTTTTCATTATTGCTTCAGCTTTTTGCCTTTGGCTTAACTCTGTTACTGTTCTTTCTGGTCTCTACAGTTTCATGCCACAAGCTGCACTTGAAGAAATCCACAAGTTTTCTGGGAGTTACACTTGCATGAACACATTTAAAGGGAGGACATGAACTTGGATTGCACACAACATGAACAATTCTCCGTCAGCTCTGAGGTGTAAGAAAAGGACAATGGACCTTGAAGCATTTGGAAGAGGACGAGTCTCTTGAATATTGTGAAGACACTTAAGCGACATTAAAGGGTGTTACTTCTTCAGGTAGAATCCGGTGATAAACTGAGCAACATCCCTTGACCATTTGTGCATGTGCATATATAAGCACATGCATGTGATAATATAGATGACTGAACTAAATTCTCACTTTGAACAGAAGCCATGTATGTCAGTACAAGTAGTGATTCTGAGAGGGTTTGTTGTGACACTTATTTGACTATTTTACAGTCTATTTTTCGTATATTTTTAATGTTTTAATCAAAAATGTGAAATAAATTGAGTTTTAGACTGAAATTGTCTCAGTATGCATGACAATGATAGCAAAACACTTGGTAAGTGCACGCTGCTGTGTGTCTGGGTTTTTACTCTCACAGTGTGAAAACAACTTTGATTGATTCCAAGCATGAGACTGTGTCAAAGATGCTGTCAAAAGATAAAATGTGCTCTTGGGAGGCATGCGGGGCATACGCTTGTTTGTTCTTAGCTTTCAGAAAACAAAGCCGGTCTAGAAGGAAATGTAATTCTCAATGGAAATTAAAAAAAAAAAAAAAGTCAAATCAGGATGGTCCTCTGCATGTGGGCAAAATGTTACAAAATTCTGGTGATGCTGACAAACGGGGAGAACTCTGAATTTATTGCCCACAGAAGTCATCATGAGACATTCATTATTCATCTGGAAAGAGTTTTTTTGTTTGTTTGTTTTATTTCATGTCTGTAAGGAAAATGATAATACGTCATATTTGATTTTGCCAGCTTGGCTCACATTCAGACAATCGTCTACAAATGCTGCACACGTGTTGGATCAAACATAACCCCAGAGGTATATATTAAAACAAACAAAAAAAAGATTGAACAATATGGGGCCTTCTTTTCTTTATTATGAATCTGAACATATTCTACTGCAAAACAGGGAGATAGTTGTGGAAAATATAATGGATGATATTTGTCAAGGCCAGAGATTCACCATTTTTATACTGATGGCTTTTGTGTCTTCTTTTAGAACTAGAAGATACACGTCATAAGTTAAGTGTGTTGCGCTTGCTAGCTTGATCAACAAACCTTGGACAAGAAGTTTAACAAACGCCTGTTTTCACTGGAAATGTGCTCAGTTTCTAATCGAAGAGTCTTCAAACTGAAACAATAAACGACCTCTCATGCTAAGTATAATTTTGGACCAGCAAACAAATTATCTTCAGCATGTTAGATAAATACTCCTGACTAGTTGGGACTTGTGCTGATTAACTTTAACGCCTAAGGTTATAAATGGATATCAATACCTCTCTCGAGTTTGTGTGAAAGACAAGAAGCTAATTAACTCACTGTAACATTGTGGGGGCGGGGTTAGTGTCTACCTGACTTAGTCTAGTGGGAAATAATCTAAAAGTTCTGAAAGTTGTATTGATTATTTCATCCAAGTCTTGGCAAGAGAGTCTGAAACAGGGAAACTGTCTTTTTTTTATCATTGTTAGCTTAATTTGCATTTGGGACAGCAGCAAATGGGGATGGAGTCACAGGAGAATATGTTACATTTCCTGTGCTTTCAAACTGTTTCTAATATTTTTCAACTTGTTTTAAATGACGATGCAATCACTGTGAATGCAAAACGAAGCCACGCTGCAACTGCATAAACGCACACGGGATTAAATCTGCTACCAGTAGGAACAAAACGTGAAGACGAGAAACTTCAGTGCTGTTACAGTGCTGCACAAACACATTTGGTCTTTTTAAAAAGAAGTTCACATATCTTTATTGTCATTCGCATCACATGTGGTACATGAGGAGGAATGAAATTATGTACTCAAGGTCCCAGTTACACCCAAAAGTAGCACAAATGTAAAGTATAAACAGAAACTGTAAATAAGATATACACAAAGATATGCGCTAAACGAACGCCAAACTGTACGCTAAAAGAGCTAAAATATACGCTAAACATTATCAACGTAAAATAATATGGTATATTGAACAGCAGCTCGAACATGAGTCTGTGGGAGCAGATGAGTACGAATGAATACAGCAGCATGAGATCAGCAGCATGGATAATCAGCAGCACAGATAAGTCACATATCACCAATTAAAGTGGCATTACAGTGATTTTTAGTTTATGTGGTTTCACAGTGATTATCATGGTTAGAGATTCATGAGTCTAAACTTCAAGGTAGAAGCTGTTCCTTAGTGGGTTTACACTTAACGCTCTGCAACGTTTTGCCTAAGGGGAGTGGGGCAGAAATTGTGTGTGCTGGGTGAGTGGGGTTCTTCATGAAGCAAATAACATAAAATCATAAACCTTTTTTTTTTGTTGCAATGCCGTAAGTAGTAAATACAAACGTGAGCTGTGAGGTTCGTGACTGAAAGCACAGCTTAAAAAATAAAGACTCATATTATTGTTAAACTCACAATGTCATTTCTTCAAATAATCGATCAACAGTTGTGTGTGGTGTCTGTAACTGAATAATACCAAAAATTATTTATTAAAAAAAACACTGAATAACCCTTCTAAATTGAAAATGGTTGTTGAAAGGGATCTTGTCAGTTTATGTGTAATGTTACAAAAAAACTGCTTCCCTACAATGTAAGAAATGAAAATCAATGTCATGAGATGAAAAACTGTTGTTCCTTTCATTCACTGAGTAAATGGTTTTACAGATTTGATTTTTTCATAAGAATATACATTTTTTTTTAATTATTACAGTTTTTGTTGACCTAAGGACTGTGAACCTGTGTCACGTTTGCTTGTCTAGATATTCTTTGTGTTCCTCCTCAGATACTGACTTTTTTTTTTCTCAGAGCAAAGAGCGATGTTCAGGATATAAGCGACAGAGCACAAGTATAAATTCATCAAACATGATTTTGCTTCACAAGGTTAATCAAAACAGTAAAAGTAAAACTGAAAAGGCAACATGAGGCATGCAGAATTTTAAATTCTTAAATGTAACACTAACTAAGGCTGAGGTTGGGAAATGTACATCTTGTTAAAATAAACACGCCAATAACATTTTAAGTACTTTAAATAAAATACTTTGACTCATATTAAGGAACACATGAACGAGAAACGTGACCACGGATTCAGTCACAAACTGACACTTCACGTCTCAAGTCAGAGATGGTTGTAGAAGCTGTGCCTGGCCTTTGGCTGCCAGACAAGGCTCATAAACATTCATTTGGATCCCAGCGACCCATAAATGCCCTTCTTTGCGCTCTCGATAGGGCCGCACATAGTGATCAGTAGGTGACCCACGCTGGAGCTGAAGGGAGTGGGGCGGGGGAGGCGGAGGCACTGCTGAGAGTGAATCCGAGCCTCTTTCAGGGGGCCTGTTTCTCATTCTCTCAGCGGGATGTTGCGAAAGCAGAGAAAGAAGCAGCATGTTGGGGATGGAACTAGGTTGAGGAGGCATGTTGTGCATGTATGCTGGAAAAGGAGGGCTAAAATGGTTGGAAATCTCTCGGGACAGGTTCAGAGCAGGGTTAGCCAAAAACAGAATAAATCAAATGAGGGCTTGGAAAGTCTTTTTCCCTGCTGAAGACTCTCAGCTCTGGTAGTTACTGACCACATGCAGGTGGAAAGAGTGAAATTAAGGTTTGATCAAGTGGACAGTAATACGAGTTTATAGCTGTTTTATCTGCAACTACACATTCCCACGTGTTCACGGACTTGTTTCATTATTATTTGAGGATTGCAGTCAAAATATTAAAACATATAATAAGAAAAACAGTTTGTGGCAAATGGAAAGAAAAAAACTTCTAGAGTCAATTGAATCATCTTATTTTATGCTGACCATGAGCATTTCTATGTGACTTCATCTTAAATATACATTATTCATCGTTAGCCATTACTGCACATTTGTCAGCGAATGTCCTAGAATCTCTCTCCTCCTTGAAGGAGAGCAACAAGTATTTTCCTTTATGCAGTCCAAGCATGTGTAATCCCAACACAGCCTGCACAGCCAGCCTGCAATGATCTATTAAATATATCATATACGCCTGGATCTGGAGTCCATTTAACTTGTTGTGCAGTGATGCTGAACGCATGTTAAACCTCAGCCAGTTCCAGATCCTGTCATTATTCACATCTCTGTATTTTTTCTGGGAGATGGTTCACCGCAACTTCGAAACCCAGCACTGCACACATGATAAATTGTGTTTCCAACTATCCCTTTATAGCTATTACGCGTCTCTGGAATGTCTAAAATAATTCTGTATTTCCTCTTAAATTATATTGTTATTTTTTAGCATTAGTCATAATGCAAAATGTGTCAAATATGCAGCAGATTTACTGAGAAAGCCTCCTCGCTTTCCTCGAACACCCAAGATAAGAGGTATGAGATATGTGAGCAACAAACTTTTACCTGCAATAAACCTTATACAGTCTGCGTGCTTTGTGGACACAGCCTTAAATGGATAGCTAAATGAGACTGTAGCAAAGGGCACCAAGAAGGCAGTAGAGTTCAGTGAGGTATTATCTGTTACAAGACCTTATCCGCTTTCTCTGAACAATGCTTTTAGCCCTCTCTCCAGTTTGCTGTTGGGTTCATCCATCACAGGGTAGGTAGCATGATAAAAAGGCTCAGCCCTAACCCACAGCAAGGAGCCAGGTGTGATGCCTCAGTCGACCTGTCAGACTGTAAGAGTTATTATACACAGCGGTGTTAAAGGTTAAAGGGAGCAGCAAACTTGGAGGGTGTCAGTTCTCAAAAGCACACACAGACACAGGCTGCGCTTTTTGGATTGGATACGTAAAATAGGATGTGATTCATGAATAAATAAGGTAGTTGTGTGAGAATTTATGTTCGCATGAGCACGTCCGCTTAAAACTGTGGTTCACCTGAATAGCTCTTTCAGCAGAAACACACAGTGACACGTTTTCCTACCAGCAGCACAAAGAACAAACAAAATGTGATGCCTCTGAATACAATAAGTCAAATTAGTCAAAAACTGGCCATTTAACAAAAACAGACTTTGCAGGAAGTTCCTTTAAAAAGAGACATCAGGAGGTGTGATTCTAAGAAAAACACAAGTTCAAATATGTGTTTGAGCTCTAACTTTTCATATGTTTTATTCATCACTGACCACCATTCTTATTTACACTGGCCTTTCTCTACAGCAAGTGAGGAATCGCTCTGTGGGGAGTTTGTTGACAAAAGGTTTTGGATTCAACATTTAGCTTCATCTGTGTTATCTCCTGTACCTGATAAAGGTTTGCTTATGGATCGTTATACATTGTCTGCAGATTAAACATCATGGTGCTTGAAAAGCCCTCAGATTTATTTTGATATTGCTCAACAAGTCCATATGTAAATCAAAGCAACCACACATTATAGCTGCTCATAACAGATGGTTGAGTTGCAATAATATTGTTTTTTAATTCAAAAAGAAGTTTGACTCCCACAGAGAGCAGCTGCTTCTCTGGGTGTTGGTTCTTTTACCTCAACTTAACTGTTTATATCAAGTTATTTCATAAGGTGTTTGTTAGATAAGAATAACAGTCATCATCCATCCACCATCTTTTACCTGCTACTTGCGCTTCAGGTCGCGGGGGTC